GTTTATAAACTCTGTGTGTATGTGTGTCTTTGAGTCAGTCTTGACTCCTGGCAATTGCCTGGACAAGTCCTTGCAGATTTCTTGACAAGGTTTTTTGGAAGTGGTTCTCCACTGCCTGCTTTCTAGGGCTGAGAGAGAGTGACTGGCCCAAGGTTACCCAGCTGGCTTTGTGCCCGAAGCAGGACTAGAACTCAGAGTGTTTGGGTTTTTAGCATGGTGCTTTAACCACTACACCAACCTGTAAACAAATAATGTCGCTAATATTACCATCTGTAGCATTTCTATCCTTGTTATCACTTCTTCTACACAGCCTATATTTTAAAGACAACTTATTCCATCTGTGTACTTTGATTGAACTACTAGCATAACTGATGCACAGAAGCAAATCTATTGCTTTGTTCTTTATGGTTCATTGAATTAATCTCTTTGACCATTCTTGCCTTCTGTGTTCACAGTAAAATACAAAAAGCATACAAAATGTGGAACATTTCTGTGGGACATATTCAGTGATTCCATAAAAAAAATGTATCCTCAAACCTTGTTAACCTGTAATAGAACTCATGCTTTTACATATCCACCCATGAAATGGCTTGACAGTTTCACTGTCAAAATAGACATCAGAGAGAATAGAATACTAAGAGTGAAAAAGATATGAAGATTAACTAAATCTATCCCCCTAGCTTCAAGGAAGGGTCATCCACAAATTAACCCTTATTATCACCATACAGATCAATACACAACTTCATTGCAAGACGGAACAGAAGTAAACAAAAATTTTAAAAATTTTTACCACATAATCATTTTTTGACTATATAAGATTTTTCTTCCTGGAACATAGGAAAAACCCAGTTTCCAATCAGAAGTAAACATATGGAATGTACATTACTGCAATTTCTTTAATAAACTGTGCATGAAGGTGCCATGTATGTTAGGCCAAAGTAATAGAAACAGTTCTTTGCTATGCAAACATATTTCCCCGCCCCCCCCCACACACACCACTCAATCTTCCTCCAAATCACTCCAAAAACATACAATCTGATTATTTTATGAACATTCTATGAAATTGGAATTGGCTGTAGCCAGTGGTGGGATTCAACCGGTTCTCACCACTTCAGCCAAGCCAGTTGTTAAATTCCTGGCTGGCCCTGGCCCTCCCCTCCCCGCCCCTTCCAGAAGTCCCCATGTGCCCCATTTTGGCTCCCAGGTAAGTGCAGGGCAGCCAACTAGGCCCAAAACGAGGCACGGGGTGTGTGGTGCGGGGCCCCCGTGGCCTGTTTTTGCTCCGAGGGGGTTGCAGGGAGACCTACTAGGCCCAAAATGGGGCACAGGAGGGGGCACAACCCCCCTGCAGCCTGTTTTTGCTCAAGGGGGTGCAGGAGGCTGAATGCTGCCTGTCACACCCCCTGGCCACACCCACCATGGCCACGCTCACCCAGCCAGTCATTAGGGCAGAGAACTGGTTGTTAAATTATTTGAATCCCACCACTGGCGGTAGCTATCTAAAAGCTCATATCATGTGAATAAGTGTAACTCAACCTTAACATCACCTTCCACAATTGTACATACAACCGCATTTTGTTGTAGATGCTTCCTATGGTCAGCAAGGTGTTGGGAATCAACTAAGAAAATAATCATGTTGTTACTCATTAAATAAACAGTGATGGTACCCATGAAAATACAGAATGGGGGAATAAAGTATGGGAAGCATGACATGAGTTAGGCAACTCAATTAATAAGACACCATGGAAAGTTGCTAATAGGAAGAAAAGAATCAGACTGAAAAGCCATTAGATGCTTCTAGAAAACTCACAGAACTTAAGATAAAAATAGGTACGTCATCTTGTTTGCAGTCCATATATATAATTATATTTTCAACAATCATACTTGATTTTCTGAGTCCAGGAAACTTTATTGTATTTGAATCTTACTTTTCCTTTAGAAAATTCAGTGAGACTTCTCAGTGTGACTTATGTTGTATTTCTACAAGTTTAGTACACACACCCACACACACACATGAAATTTGTCCTGAAAAGAAATCAAGCATTTAGGGCTGTTTGACCATTTTTTTAAAAATCTGCTATACTGATTGATATACTGGGCCATGTTACAAATTTTATATTATTTCTCAAAGAGCAGGTTTAATCATAATGCTCCTGAATGGAGAGGACTGTATCTAAGGCAGGGGTCACCAAACTTTCAGACCTCAGGAACCACTACATTCATAATTTTAAATTCCACGGACCACTAATATGAATTTTTAAAAAGATAAATAGTATTTAGTGCAATATAAAAATGCAAATAATTTTTCTGCGGACCACCAAAATGTTCTCACAGACCACTGGTTGGTGACCATTGATCTAAGACAATGGTATATACTACAGAAGAATTTCTCAACTATGGCATCTTTAAGACAGATGGACTTCAATTCCTTGAATCCCTCAGCCAGCATGGCTGGCTGGGAGATTCTGGGAATTGAAGTCCACCTGTCTTAAAGTTTCTAAGGTTGAATAATCCTATATTAGAGGACAATATTTTTTTTAAAAAACCAGCATGGTCTGGGGACACAGCATGAGTTATCCTACAGGAGTAATCCTTCATCATTGTTGTGATGAGTATGCATTTCATACTGGTGACTACACACCGCACATTCTTCAATTGTCCTGGCTTCACAATGATTTAGGAATGCCAATAAATTCAATGCAATTCTCATTTTCAACACTAAGGAGGATTATGACAAATATTACCCAAATTGATCTTGGTTCTGATTTTCTGCTCATAATATATCTTATTCCAAGATACCTGCCTCCAGATCTGATCTTTATGGAACAAATCCTACATAATATTTGACAGATATTATACACACTGAAAAGCTTACAGTGTTCATTTCTATATCTTTCCTTTTACTAGCACGTTTCAGAACAAGATTCTACAGTAGAGTATATACTATTGGCAGAAGACAAGGAGGAAAAGGATAAGGAGCTTCTCCTTTACACTTCCTTTATTTTATATTTTTTTCTCTACTATGTTCATTAATTATAGCCCTCCCTTATGGCTAATTATTAAAAGATTTATTGCAGCCACTTTTTTGCATGTTTTGAAAATTATTACAAGAGATCAATATGTCTAGAAGTGAGTGTCTGAGAATTGGTAAAATGAATTCTCCCTGTATAAATGTCAGCGCAGAATAATTCAGTCATATCACACTGATGTGTGTGTAATAAAGCTGATCTGTCGTCTGTTGCACAGCCAAATGATAAAAGACTGCAATGCATTCATAAGAGATTTCTGAAATGGGCCCTCCAAATGATAAGTGACAAGAGAGGATCAGTAAGTTATTTTGGATGCTAGTTAGCCTAGTTTGAAGGAAGAAAGGGGATTGAGAAAAATTATAAACAATGTTCATTTTTTAAGATCAGGATATTATCATTAAAGAAAGAGGGAAGTATGCAAATTAATCTACATGGCTGCTTCTTTATATATATATATATATATATATATATATATATATATATATATATATATATATATATTATTGTTTATCTACATGGCTACTTCAAGTATAAAATTGAATATGTTCAGTAATTTAGTTGTATCTCTACTATTGCACCTAATGTATAATGAGTGTAAGATGATGCAGCTTGTTCTCTTTATGGGAGTGAGGAAATATTTCAGGAAACCACTACAGAATTCTTTATTGTTTGTTCCAAATATATGGGAAGCTGGTAATTTTCAATTTTCAGTTTACATGATAAACTGGAAATGTAAAAAAATTATTGATTCCATTTAACTGTCTTAGGAAAAAAATGATTTTGCAAGAGGTGGATCCAGGGGTGAAATGCTCCCGGTTCAGACCGGCTCAGGCAAGTAGGTAGTGATGGCGGTGGGCAGTTTGGAGAACCGGTAGCAAAAATCCCTGCCCCCACCCCCCATGCCCAGCTGAGCCGCGCGATCATCAGAGGCTTTTTTTCTTTTAAATGGCTCTGAGAAGCCAAGCTCTGACGATCCCAGCTGAGTTGCCTGATCATCAGAGGGTTTTTTAAAAACCCTCTGCCGATCAGGCAACTCAGCTGGGATCGTCAGAGCCTTTTGAAAGCATTTTTTTATATGGTTTTACATGTAAAAAAATGGTTTTAAAAGTAAAAAAAAAAAATTGGCCACACCCACCCAGTCACATTACCCCCCACACACACCAAGCCATGCCTACAGAACCAGTAGTAACAAATTTTAGATTTCACCACTGGGTGGATCTATTATGTATTTTCTGAATAAAGAATTGGTGAGAGAGCACTGACTGACCAGTCAAAATCATTTTTGCTTATACAGATTAAAGCTTAATTGGCTAAATAGTAAGAGAAATTCAGATATATTTGCATAGTCAGTAAGATCAGCTCAATTTTCTCCTTTCAATATTAGGGTCTGATTAACACAAGTGGCATTGTAATTTTGAGTGGTCATTAAACAAAGTGTAATGGTTACAAATTGAGGACTACCTGTATAGGTTAAGCATATCACTTCCAAGTATGAGAACCCACAGGTACAATTGTGAGACATGTTTATAATCAAGTTAATTTAAATGATTCACATGCTAAAAATGCAACGAGCAAAGTAATTCCAAAATTAATTTTACATATCTCTTGTCATATGTATTCAACAGGAAGCTTCCTTCCGGATATATTTTGACTGAATAACTTCCCTTAGTACCCATTCTACCAGTTCTTTTAAATCAGTCTCCCTCCCATCAGCTTGATGTCAAGGTCTAAATTTCCAGGAGTTATATACATCATTGTCATAATACAATTACAGAGTCAGAGAAAGGCAGTTACTTAATTTGTGTGTTTAGCATCTCTCCTTGCCTTCAGGTTTGTAAATCTAGATGCAGCTGGCATGTAAAAGGAGCACAAAGGAAATATTGGGCTTTGTCATATTTGGCTGAAAGTCATTGCTTTCATTCGTACTTCCCATGCCCCCCCCAATCTTCTCTTTCTTTAATGAAAACTCACCAGGCACCATCCCTGTCAGCGTTGGAGCAGAGTAGCTGCCCTGTCCAGCAGGGGGGACGTGTGGAGGGTATCCAGGGAGGGTTGTGCTTGCCAAATCACGACCTGAAAAATCAAACCAACAAATCGCCACGTGAGCATTCACAAGATCTAGACATATTTTTACATTTCCCTTAACACCCAAAACGCAGGCCGTGCATTTGTCAAAACTCAACTGCAAATACCAAAGTGGGATGCCCCCTCCCCTCCACCAAAGCTTAGCTTTGTCGCGCATAAGAAAGATTTTCCTTTATTTATAAGCACCACAAGTAAGAGACTAGCAGCAACTGCACACAGTGTTACAAACAAATTAGAAGCAACACAATTTTGAACCCAACTTGTTTCCCCCTCCCCTTCTTTTTAAATATATAATTCAGTAACACAAAAAGGGAAGCGAGTGATTTAAAAAATAAATCAAGCCACGATCTGCTCTTTTCAGTCCAAGTGCAGTGTGGTTAAACAATAGAAGTAGTGACGGATGAATTGAATATGGCCGGTAAGTAACAGGATGATTACCCCAATGGCTTCAACAAGACTAATGAACAGATGATAGATGTACACTGTTTAAGAAACATTATCACTGCTCTGTTTAATATTGTTGGGTAGCATATATTCTGATGTATTAATTCAGCTTCCCTACATACAGATAGATATTCTCAATTTGGGCAATGCCAGAATATCTGGAGGGCACCAGGTTGCAGAAATCTGGTCTGAGCTGATGCATTTACTTTTCTGACAGGACTATTTGCCTCTCTCTTTAATATGTTCAACATGACTTGGTGAGAATACTACACCTTTTGCCTATTTCCACTCAAACTGTCAGTAACAAAAATGTGACAAGCTCATTGTGAATCAGATCCTTACATGAACCATCAGATAATAACAACAAAACTAATTTTGGGTCAGGACAGGGAGGCAAAGTCTGTTTTATAATTTCAGGTAGATATTTTACATTCCAGGTGCTTACACCAAAGTAAGATTTTTCTTGATAGTTTCTCTAGGATCCCTGTTTGAATAAGTGATTAATACAAGACATTCTCAATAGGATGAGCTACTAACATTGCGAGAATTTCAGTGTGATTTCCCTGAATGGTGAAAAACAGGATTTCAAAACCAGAAAGAGTTATCCAATAATATTAATACATTAATACAGAAAAGAAATGTACACCTGTGTCTATGACAGTTATAAAATATCTGATCATATTTATTGTTTGTGCTCCAGTAATTTGATGATTTGGGCTTGATGAGTGATATATGCTTTACTGGATACTATTTTTTGATTAATGTAAACTACCTAGTTATTGGGATCTGGGGAATGCATGAATACATTATTATTATCTGCTGAAATCAATCCACTGTAGGATGAAGGGCACTTTATTGAAGGTGATGTACCATTATCCACCACACTAGTCCAGTGAGTATTAGTAGATAGATGTTGTTTTACTTACTGGTCTAGGGCTGATAGAGAGTGATTGGCCCAAGTCACCCAGCTGTCTTCCATGTCTTTGAAAAGACTAAAATCTGTTTCTCCTTGTTGCTAACCCCTCTCCTTAACTACTGCACCACAATGGCTCTGACATAGCAAATAGATAAACATTCATTTTTGGTTTTTTTTAAAAAATATTTTTTTTTGGAACTTTGAAAAAAGAAGATTAAAAGCTAAAGCAAGGAAGAAAAAATAAAAAGAAAGCAAGCAAAGAGAAAGAAAAAATGCAAAACAAGAAAAAAGATACAAAAGAAAGATAAAGGACATAGGAAATGCTTCATAAATGCTTCATATTCTTCATATCAGTTATAAGTACTATTATATTTCAAACTTTCTCTAAAATATGATATTATAATGTTCTTCTTTGTATTATCTATCCTGTCTAAATCATCAAAGCCATGAATCACAATTTCTTTCTTCTTTTTTTTTTCATTTTCATGCCAAAAGTTCATAAGTGGTTTCTAGTCACCAATAAATGTAGATAGTGTCTTTTCTCTAATCAAAAAAGTTAATGTATCCATCTCAGAATAAATATTCATTTTTAACACAGCATACATAGACTGGAGAAAAAGATACTGCCTACCTGATCAATTTACACCCAATTTACAGAATCATATCAAAATAACCCCCTGTTGTGGTTTTCCTCTATCTGTTTGTGATTGCCTGAATTCTGTGCTTCAGTGTCACCCTATTCTATCTTCCCACCTGTGGAGGAATGTAGATGTGGGCTTGGGAAGGGGTGGAAAGAGCAATGAACTGTTAAGAGAGGAGAAAAAGCAACTCAGTCCTGGGAAAGTAGAAAGTGCAAGAAAAAAACCTCAACTCTACCTTCATTTGTTTTTTTAAAAAAATAATGGTAGTCCTCAATTTAAGATTGGTCACTCAGCGACCATTCAGTTACAATGAACCTACCTGGGGTTACTTATGACCCAGATTCGAAGTTCTAATGGTTGCCCCCCCCCATGGTCATGTGACCAAATTTCAAGTGTTTGGCAACTGGAACTTGCAGTTCCACGGTAATGTGTTTTATGACAATTTGGCCAAAACCTGGTGTTTCCAGAGTTCGTTTGTTTTTTGGCAAAACTGAGCTTATAATGAACCACTGGTACACTTAATGACCATGGCAGCCACTGTATTATTGTTGCAAAAAATGTTGTAAAATTATGTTGGTCACATGACTGGCCCATTTTATGATGATCACGACTTATGACTCTGATGGGCAGGGTCCATTAAAGTCCTAAATCAAGGAATATCTTTATAGGAAATCTTGATAGGTTTCAAGATTCCATTAATCTAATAAAGAACATTTTTTTATTCCCTGCAGTTTCCCTTTCTTTCCTCTGAAACCACCTTTCGTTCTTCTTTCTTTTCTTCTCTGTTGTTCCCAGACCTTCTTCTATTCTTACTCAAATTCTAACATTTTCTTCTTTTTTGTGTTTCAATCTGGAAGGAGGGAAGAGAATGAGAGAAGGGCTTGTCTTCAGTGGCGGATTAAGGCTCACTGGTGCCCTAAGCACTGACAAATAATTGGTGCCCCCCTCCTTTGTACATCTTTTTATATATATATATAAATCTTCATTGGTTTTTTTTTTCCTTTCTAAACTTTGTGGTGCCCCCTTTGGGCCTGGTGCCCTAAACACATGCTTAGTCTGCTTAATGGTTAATACACCACTGCTTGTCTTGCATGTGAATGAGTATGAGAAAGAGTGATTTGTATGTATACTTTTTAAATGAGATACCTTATTTTATAACTTTCTAATCCAAAGTTACCAATTAAATTATTTATTATTTTTCATGTTTTGTGCGTGCATGTGTATTCATTTACATACATACATACACACACACTTCAGAGGAAAAAAATGGTATATAAACATATTTTTTAGGGAAAGGGAATTTTTAGTTTCAAATGTAGTTGGCAAACCTAAATTGACAATGCATGGAATTTGGGCCTCCCACAATATCTTGGTTTGCGTTATTTGTTTGCTTGTTTGTCTATTCTTCTTTTTGTAAGGGGAATATCTTTAAATCCAGCTCATCCTCCTTGTCACAAAATATTACTAAGAACATATAGATTGCCACAGTAACATACCAACTACTGTAATTTCCTCTGGATGCAACACACTTTAAAACCTAACAAAAAGGGATTCAAAATTTCAGTTGAGTTCTCATTAAAGATTTAAATGAAGTTCCAGTGAAGAATTTGAACATTATGAGACAGTTAAGGATAAAACAACCATCAACTCATATGAAACAGAACTAATGTGAAGCCCAAGTTACAAATTTGGTTCAAGACCCTCTTGAATTCTCTCACTTCCTGCAGGCAGAGTATTGCACACATAAATATATAATATACACAAATATTTGGATCATAAAAGATTACTAAGTTGGGAAGATCTCTGCTCTTAATTTCTGATGCTATAGCTGTACAATGGGATTACTGTGGATAGAGTTGAAATTCAAATAAACCTCCCATTTTAGGCCCAATGTTTGGGAAAGCCATATGTCTGGACCCTGATAGCCGGTAACCTTCTGGCAAATGCTAGGAAGAAGAAGGGTTGAGATAAAGATATGCATCCTTTCTGTGTCCATAATTATGCGATAGAGTTGCAGAATACATTTTTATTAAACAAAATTGACCCTTGATAGACAATTTCTTGGCTTTCTAAAAATAAAAAAGCTTAGGGAATTATTGTGAGCTATATACAGTCTGATTGAAGAAAAAAGTCAATCATTAAAGACCTGAATGGAAAGGGCTAAATACCTTTTCTAAACTATCATTACAAGGTATAGCAAGACCTGGACATTATCAGGGAGAAAAAAAGCTGTGGAAGCAAAAAGGTTTTATGTGAAATAGAGTTCTAATGAACCGATAAACTGATATTTGCTTTGCAATGTTTATGCCACTGCATTCACTAACACGAGGACTTCCAGTGTATTATAACAATAATGACAATAAATTATTCCATACAGGCATACCTATAGTTTCAGAGGCAATCAGCAAGAGGAGGCTTTAAATCAGCCAGCCAATCAACAATGACCTTCTTTCCTGGCATGTGGTGTTAGTAAGTACCTGCCATATTGCTGATGGCTTGACTGAATGTCTTGTTTTGAAGGTCTAAGTAGGTGAAACTCATCCCATAGGGTTTTTCCTTTTTTGTAAAACAAAAACATGCTATTAAATATTAGTCAAAGGATAATTATAACTGATGTATTCTCTTCTCCTCCCCCAGTACTGGCTATTGGGAAAAGTGAAAAATCATATTTTGAAATAATTTGGAAATTGTGCACTAACTGCAAAACAATCCAAGATTTTTGTTTTATGAAATCTGAAACAATGTGGCACCACGTGTATTTGAAAGTAGACAATATGTAAAGAGAAAGGGATGTTATACATTTAATGGCTATGTACAAAAGGAAATTGCAACAGGCATAGCTTGTCATGTGTACAAATATAGACTGTCATGCAACACAACAAATTAATTGCCTTTTATATTCTAATTAACAGATGAATATCCAGATGCTCAGTAGTGGTATGTCCATCTCTTTATCATACTAGATGGGACCATATTTGAATGGGAAG